CGCAGACGAGCCAGAGCCTCCCGGCCAAGACCCGGCTTTAGGGCGCGAGCGGGCGGGGCCGCGGGCTGCTGGGTGACTGCGCGAGGCTGGGAAGCTCCAGGCTCCCGTCATTTTGGGGGATTTTGGTAGCGTTAGTCAAACTTGATCTACTCGGACTAACCGTCCCTAAATGACGGTGCCCTCCCTCCATCCCTCCCTCTCGATTCGTTCTTTCTCGTATTTTATTTTTTTCATATATAATTTTGGTTACTCTTTAAAAGTAGATTTCGCTCCCCTTTTATTATAGTTGAACTGTGGTTGGGAGGTGGAGTTACTTCAGATTCACCACTTTTAGCGGCTTTAGCCAATTCTAAGTGATTCATTATAAACTTGAAATGTTTGCTGTAGCCCTTGTACTTCGGAATCAATCTAGGGCTGCACTCACCTGCCCGGTAACCACCAGCTAAAGGAAGCGACTGAGGGTTTGAAAGGCAGCCAGTCCGAGCTGAAATGTGCTGTAAAATGCACAGCAGATGTCGACTAATTAGTTTGCAAACAAGAATGCAACCTTTTTATGTTGATCTTCATAACAGTTTGTAATTGATTACATATTGAAATAATATTTTGGATAAAATAAGTTAATAAAATACATTATTGATGTTAATTTCACCTGTTTCTATTTTTTAAAACATTGCTACTAACTAGAAAATTTAAGATTACAAATGTGCTCGAATATGTAATTGGACAGGGCTGATCTAAAGATCAGTCGATTAGCAGAGGGACATTTAATGGAAGTGACTCTTACCTTTACCCTAGTCTCCTGCCTTTCTTTCTACATAAAGTTGTGTATACCTGTGTATTCTGCTTTATAGCACATTTTTAAAAAAAGTTTCACCTGACCTTTAAATTGCACTTTAAGTTGGTTTGATTACAGAATCACATTTTGCGCCGGTGGTATTGTTTTGTTTTCCTTTAGGTGAGAAAGGTTGTGCATAAAATTGAGTATTTTTAAACTAGTTTTTAAAATTATGAAAGCGGTGCATATTTATTATTTTAAAAATCATTCAGCATAAAGGTATGAAATTAAAATTAAAAGTTTCTCAATGCCTTCCAGCAAGTTTCTGTCTAAAACTAAAGAGTGTGTGTGTGGTTACATAAAAGTGATATTACTCTGCATATCTTTCTGATACCTGCCCTTTCTTAATTATTTCTCTTTGGCTATATTTCCTGAGGAGTATAGTAAGTGTGCTTATTTTTATTGAAGAATTTGTATATTATTCTATTCTATGCCTGCATTATAATTTATTTAACTGTTTTCCTAATGAGTACTTAGGATATCTTTACATTTTAGTGGTGTAATTGTAGATTCACATGCAGTCTTAAAAATAATACTGAACTATCCCTCAAAACTCTGCCCAGTGTCTTCCAATGATAATATTTTGTAAACTATATTATAATATCATGACAAAGATATTTATATTGATACAATCTGCTTGTATTTATTTGTGTGTATGTCCTATATAATTTTTATTATCTGAATATACTCACTTATCTATTACCACAATCAAGATACTGAAGAGTTCCAACACTATAAGATCTCTCATGTTGGCCTTTTATCATCATAACCATCTCCTTCCAATCCAATCAACTCCCAACTCTTATCAACCACTTATATGTTCTCCATTTATAAAATTGTTGCATGTAAAAATGTTATAGTAATGGAATCCTAAAGTATCTCATGCTTTGGTTTCTCAGCATAATTCCATGTAGAATCAACAACAAAAAAGTTGATTTTGAGATGGATGAGTAAAATAAGGGAAAGAAAGAGGAAGGGAGGGGAGAGAGAGGAGGCAAGTATGGAGGGAGGCAAATCCAAGAAGACAGGTCAGAGGTTGAAAGGTCAGGGACTGAGGAAAGAATGAAAGCTTGGAATAGTCTCTAAAATAAAATAATAGCTGACTAGTATAGTCATTTTCAAAATTATTTTTACAAGACCTACAATAAAACAAACAACCAAAAGTAGGTTACATTGTAATTCAAGCACACATACATACTTTAGAAACATGTTTGTTTTTTAACAATTCTTATCTTTAGCATATATAGTATACTTATAGTTTCTTTTCTGGCCTATTCTAACATTTTCTATCCTATCATTAAAATTTGTTAATCAAGAGCCACTAAATTATTTTTTTTGATCTGCTAACGGGTTATGATAAACAATTTGAAGATTATTAGACGAGATGTTCAGAAGGATTGCTGGGCAGATGAATAGCTTGACTGTCTTGCAGACCATTTGGTAATGAAGAACATAGGGTTTGAATTCAGGATGTCTGAATTATGATCCTGCCCCCATTCTTATTAATGTAATGGCTATCGACAGTTAAGTAACTTCTTCAAACCTGAGTGTTCTCATCTATACAATGACTCTAATGATCTTTAACCTTTTAAGTTACTCTGAAGATTATCCATTATACAAATGTCTTCTAGTGCTTGCCTTGTCACAGCTACTTAATACTTGGAAGCGAAAGGTAGTGATTATGATGATGACATGAAAATATACTGAAATATACTGATTAATGCATATCTGTTACAAGTATTAAAGATTTAAATGGCCCATCCGGCATGGCTCAGTGGTTGAGCATTGACCTATGAACCAGAAGGTCACAGTTTGATTCCCATTTTACATGCCATAATTATCCAATATTACATGTTATTGTTGCAAAACATGGCTTTCTCTGGTAAAATCAACAACTCTGAGTTAATGAGTAGAAACTAGCCTTATGTTTCCCCCATACATAGACTTAAGTTGTTCTCTTGTGAGTGTTTTAATCTCTGAATATTCAAGCTGACCATATGTGTTTTTCCATTAATCATTTCTATTAGGATGAGTTTTTCTGTCAAGTTTCTTGGTTCAGGAAGGCAAGCCAGCTCATTCCATGTAACTTTTCCCTTGGAGAATTAAAAGTCTAGTAATAGACCTGACCATTTTGTAGTCAAACATTGTTCTTAAAATTATGGTACAGACATGATAAGGTGTGATAAACATTTGTTAAACTAAAATGTGTATATAGAACCATGTTGGATTATTATGAAATATTAAAGAACCCATAATTTTTATTAGCATGTTAGCCTCTTTAATTTTCCTTAATTCTGTGATTTATTGTGAAGGATGATGGAAGATGATGATGATGCAAAGCTCAACGAAGAAATAGAAGCTGAATTGGACAAAATCAGCATTTCTTCTTTGGAAAAAGATGGTGTAGATAGTGATTCAAACTCAGAAACCCAGAGTGATGAGAGTGATGCTGTAAGTATTAAGTTTTGGACTTTTGAGCCCTTTAATTGGAGTAAACTTTTCAGGAGATATTTTACTTTCTCAATGTGTTTTGTGTGTTTATCTCATGTTTAACCTTAGGATCTTCTTTAAATGGTGTAAATTGATAGATATTTAAATATAAAAGTTTGTTGAAGATAGAAATTACCTTAGAAACCACATTCTGTATGTGCATTTTTGGGGGGTAAAATTGGGATTATACCATGTTATGTATATATATTTGTATCCTGCTTTTTAACATTAATCATGAACAGTCTAATATGAATATATATGGATGGAAGCAAACTTTATGTGAAAACTTTAGATCTATAGAGGTAATTATTTTTTTAATCAAATGTTATCTTGTTACTTGTGCATTTCTTCCAATGTTTATATGCTTAAAAATTTTGTTTATGATTCTTTTTTTACATCAAAACTTTTAATCCAATGGAAATTTGTTATAAAATGAAGACCTGATTTGAAATTTTCTTGAACATACTTAGCTAATGTTCCTAGTGTCACTTGTTGAATAATCCAACCTTTCTCAATTGATTTAATATCTTTTTATACATTTAGTGTTTTACATATGATCTATCCAAGATGACCTAACATTTCCCATTACTCTGTTAATTTTTGCTGTATTATAGTTTATATTTTTCAATTTCAAGAGTCCAATTTTGTTTTGCTATTTCAAAATCTTCTCAACTAAGTCTTTTTAAAAAAAACCCACAAAACTTACTTGCCAAGTTTCAAAAAATAACTATATTCTAAGTTTTCATTAGGATTTCAATAACCTACATATAATATTTGAGAAAATTTAATATTTTTATATTACTATGTCTTTTTAGCAATAGCTAATTTAAATGAGACAAAATATCCTGATATTGTTCATGTGATTATGAAATTCAGCAGAATCATAGATATAATTCATAAAACCTGGAAATGAAAAGCAAAATTTCACCATATATATTTGTTTGAAATATGCCTTTTTTTTGCAGTGTTTTATTATTATTAAAACACTAGAGGCTCGGTGCACAAAAATTTGTGCACTGGGAGGGGGGGGGAGGTCCTCAGCCCGACCTGTGCCCTCTTGCAGTCTGGGACCCCTCGGGGGATGTCCACCTGCTGGCTTAGGCCCGCTCCCCAAGGGATTGGGCCTAAGCTGGCAGTCAGACATCCCTCTGGCAGCACAGGAGCCCTCAGGGCATGTCTACTTGCCAGTGAGGAGTAGGCCTAAGCTGCAGTCAGAAATCCTTGGTACAGCTGAGGAGGTGGGAGAGGCTCCTGCCACCACTGCTGTGCTGGCAGCCATCAGCCTGGCTTGTGGCTGAGCAGAGCTCCCCCTGTGGGAGCACACTGACCACCAGGGGGCAGCTTCTGCATTGAGTGTCTGCCCCCTGGTGGTCAATGTGTATCATAGTGACCAGTTCTTCCCAGTCGTTCTGCTCTTAGGGTCAATTTGCATATTACCCTTTTATTATATAGGATAGAGGCCTGGTGCACCGGTGGGGGCCGGCTGGTTTGCCCTGAAGGGTGTCCCGGATGAGGGTGGGGGTCCCGCTGGGGTGCCTGGCCAGTCTGGGTG